TCCTGCTGACACAGCGAGAGTTTTGGCTGATTAAGAATAGAGTAGAAACCGCAGAACTGGCATATATGTTATTTATATGAAGACTGTGGGTGAAATCCTGGTGATATTAAGAGCAGTAGCAAAGCTTCCATTGACTTCAGTGGATCCAGATTCTGTTCCCACTTTTACAACAAAATACACTTCTGTGCTGAAGGCCTCCCACTTTCCATCATTTGTTTCTTTCCGTTATTCCACCAGAATTAACACTTCAGCCTCCTTTTCCTACTGCCTAACTTTATTTGGTTTAAATGCTGAACATGGCTTGTCCAGGAGGTGTTGAATAATAGACAAATGGGCTGTCCATCAGTTCTGCAACACAAAAGGGAACTAACTCCCTGGAGTTTACCATACCTCCCTCTGAAACACAGGAGTTGTGTCTTTGCTGCTGACTGCCCCATCCTATTTGTTGCTTGCCAAACAGTTAGCTTGAAACACTGAACCATTAGAAGGGTCCCCCTGTAAAGGTTTTCACATTTAATCCTTCCCCAAGGAGTGTCTTTATTTCAGTATAGTTACTGAGCCAAATCCAGCCTAGGTTTTTGCTGACTTTCACTAGCATGAACCCAAGCACAGAGACGCTAAGGTGGAAAGTCTGCCAGAGGAAGGCTTGCAGCAGCAATCTCCTTTCCAAATGCTAGAGGCCAGTGCAGCTCAAAAATGGAATCAGGCCTCTTGCTTTTCTGTAAAGCCATTAGGAGTTGTTAGAGTGTAAGATATCAACAAAAAAACATTGAAATGTTAGCACGGGTAGCCACAGTATTGAGTAAAAGGTTTGGAGAAGACCAACATAATTTGAGAGATAAATATGAGCTTTACCATACGTGGAATTTGATCATTTCAAATGAGTTGGCCATATTAAGATCCAGGGCTGGGAAGACAAGAGACTGTAAGACCTGTGGTCATCAATCATTACTGCTGGCAGTGATATTGTGGCAAGAAAAACTATCAGCTCACATTGCATCTTGTGGAAAATACATTGAAATAGACTGATTCCCATTTACGCTACATGTTCTTACTCTCTTGTGCGCTCTCTTTTTGTTTTAGGTTACCATGATGGACACATTGTAATACGATGGTTCTGGGCAGCAGTGGAGCGATTTAACAATGAACAGCGACTCCGGTTACTGCAGTTTGTCACTGGAACATCTAGCGTGCCATATGAGGGCTTCGCTGCCCTTCGAGGGAGCAATGGGCTACGGCGCTTCTGTATAGAGAAGTGGGGGAAAATAACATCCCTTCCAAGGTATGAGCAACAGCTAAGGGGCTGTGAGAAGAGTAAAGCACAGTACTTTGCTTCAGAGTGCTTGGCCGTTAAAAGCAACCAAATCAGTAAGGCAATGCTAGTTCAGCATGATACACATTAATTGTACTCAGCCCTGACCTCCTTTGAATATTAGAAAATAATTAGGATACCAGTCCCTGCAGATTCAAACTCTGTTGTTAAGTTTTGGGTCAACCCCAGAGCAATGGGGGCCTGTCTTCTGGTTCTATTCATTTACAATCAAAAGGTTGATTTATAAGATTAAAAAATGGCTAGATTCAAAGCCTGTCTCTAAATTGGCCACATAGTCCCTCCCAGACCAAATCTGAATGCCTCCTCTTTGTCTTATTGCACTGTTAGTACCATTTTGTCATCTCTGTCTTCCATGAATGTATGGAGTCAGTAGGAAATTTAATGAGGAAACGGGCTTTTGTCAGCATAATGATTAAACCCAGCTTTATATATCCATCTTATCCATCCCACAATTGAATAATTTACTCACTGCCTAGTATAATAATGATATTGTATAGCATTTTTCATGAGTAGCTCTCCAAATATTATTCGCATTTTTTTACTGTTGGGGTAACTGAGGCACTGAGAAGTGTATGATTTGTCTGAGAAGACCAGTGACAGACCCAGAAATTACTCTTTTGAGTCCTAGCCCAATACTTTGTCTTCTAAACCATGCTGCATCCTCTCTAGTTCTTTTAGAAGTGGATGTAATACCACCCGTGACTTTGTGACACTGAGGCCCCTTAATTTAAAGATGTGATGGGATCTGATGCAGGATCCCAATGGTCGTGCCTCCTCCCAAGCCACACATGCATAGCAGGAAGCATGATTGTAGGATACAGCATCGGATCCCATCGTTCCATATTGCCAGTGCACGAGAAACCCAATCCTTCTTGATCCAAGTAGCAGGCTTGGCTCCCTGTTCTCCCCTGGCTGGGAGCCCTGATCAGCTGGTGGGGGCTCTCAAGCCATAGGAGCACATGCTGCACTTCTGGGCTGGGAGCCCTGACGGGGAGCTCCCAGTCTCCGAAGCACATGGGAGCCTTGCAAGGCTCCAGTGTGCTTCAGAGGCTGAGCACTGGCCATATGTTCACTTAAAGGTGTAGTAGGTACCAGCCACTAAGTTAATACACAAAATATGTGTTTTGTGTAATAACTTTGTAGCTTATTCCTCATTTTATCACATCATTAATTGAATGGATATGTGGCCAAGTCACTATTTAAAACATGATTAAACAGTTAATCACAACTGTAGAGATTACAGTAGATACAGAGCATCACAAAAACTACAGGTTGGAAATTGCTTAATATTCCTGCAGAAAACTCTCTGCATTAGTACTCTGTGTGGGGAGGGAAGAGAGGGCTTTGGTATTTACACAAGAACATGCCTGGGGCTGACATTCAAGTGCTAGCAAGGTAATTGGCCTCTTTCTGCTCTGCTTAATTTTCTTTGTTAACCTAGATCTAAATTCAGTTAGCCTCGAGATATTTAAGTGTACTACCTCATGTTTGTCTCCTGAACTTTCCCCTGAAAAGGCCTCCGCTCTAGATGAGGTTGCAGAGTCTCTTAAAATCTTCTGAGCTGCTGTGTTCTGATTAGCCACGAAGAAGAGAAACACCCATTTCTGATAAGTAATAAACCCATAGTTACCATGAATTAGTATGGTAGTATACAGGCAGACAAAGTTATGTGGGTAAGTATGATATTTTTTATTAGACCAACTGAATAGTTGGAAAAATTGATCTTTACAAGCTTTTGGTCACAAGCACCCTTCTTCAGGCATAAGGAGAGTCTACTCTCAAGGGTCAAATAGAAGCTTAAGCCAATATGAAAAATGCAGGTCTGAATATGCAAATGCGTGACAGGGAAGATCAGAGGAGATAGGAGTTAATAAGTGGGAGACAGCTAGGTGGGGGAGAGGGAAACAAAAGAGGGGACTGTCAACCAGTGACAAAATGTAGCAGGTAAAATGTAGAGAGGTTACCTGGGGTTTGGTAGGCAGGTTATAAAGGGTCATAAATCTAATGTCTATATTTAGTCCATAATTTTTGTATCCAGTAGATTTATGAAGTGAAGTTCATAGGCTTATCTACGAAAAGGGTTTTGTACATTCTCTTTGAGGATTAGAACTGAGAGATTGGAGAGAAAGTGGTTGTCTTGTGAGAAATGTGACCCCACCGGTAATTGCGTATTTTTTTATAGATTTTTGGTGTGCATTCATTCTGGTACGCAGCTGTAATTGGTTTCTCCTGCATCGTTTCCGTCAGGGCATTCAGTGCACTGGATGAGATATATCGCATTTCTGGAGGTGCCAATGTAAGATCCAGGAATGGTGATGGCTCTGTTATGGGATGTAGTTATTGTGGGAATGGTGGAGTTGTGTTGGCAAGTTTTATATTTCCATGGTCTGGATCCATGCCATGTGCTTTGGGCCATAGAACATTCTCTTCTGGTCGTGAGGTTGGTGAGGTTTGGTGCCTGTTTAAAAGCTTGGATAAGTGGTTCTGGAAAGATCTCTTTAAGAATTGGGTCTTCTTCTAGTATAGATTGCAATTGTTTGAGGATTTTTCATATTGATAGTATATGATAGTGACGAAGCATTCTTGCATTGAAGCATTTGATGAAGCATTCTAGCATTTGAAAATGTATGTAACTTTATCTCAACTATGCAGTTGGTCCAATAAAACTTATCACCCAAAAAATCCTCACTTCTCGTATGGTAGTACACAGTGTACATATTACAATTGTGGAACAGTACTAACTACACACAGCACTCTAAAATATAAAAAAGATGAGGGTTAAAATGCTAAAACTTGGGACTTCCCACATCCATAAGTACCTCAATAAAGGTTATTTAAAATTTGCGTTTAGATGCCTAAATTTTTTTTATATTTATTTTTTATTCAGACAGTAGGATAGGAATCTCTGATTTTCCCTTACACACACACAACACAATAGAAGGGTGCAGTCATTGACGCAGTTCAAAATCACCTACTACAAATCCTTCCTCCCTAACAATTGTTGTATACTCCCCAGTTTCAGATGCCTGAGAAAAAAGAAGACCCTTTTCATGTGCCCTACAAGCTTATGTCATTAATCCTAGATATAGATTTGGCCTGAGCTTTTTATGAACCTAATGAAGTTCTTAGGGCCCAGTGCAATACATCTTATAACCATATAAATTCAATGTAAAAAAAAATCTGTAAAAAAGTTGCATATAACTCCAAGCAATTGATTTCTCCAATTTTGAGTGGTACAGAGATGGACATTGGATTGCCACAGTTAGGGGTGTTTGCAGAGGAATTAGAGGGAATGTAGGTCTGGCTTTGACATTTCCAGATGCTTTATGAAGTCTTGAATAAAAAGTGGTAAATATACACTAAGGACCTAGAGCTCCTTCTGCGTTCTCTCCTTCCTATATCAGAAGTGTCTCTTACAGTCAGTTCTTACATTGTGGCAATGCAGTGTGCAACTGCATTTTTTGTTTACCACTGACCACAGGCAGGCTGTTTCCTTTACTGCAGCACATAGTGACATCAGAAAAGATACCTGATGTGTAGTTCTGAGATAAGAGGAGACTTCTAATACTAGTGCTGATAATGCAGCGTTTGCATTGATAATGCACTTATGAAGGGTTTTGTGGTGCTTCTTCCAAACACTGTAAGGCTGTAGTGAAAACTTTTCAGTAGTTAGGAAGGTTCATACTCCAGGAGCTTTATTCTAATCTCATTTTTGCTTCTGCTCAGGAGTAATTCTGCTAAGTTGAGAGAGTAGTACTGGTGTAAAATGCTGATGAAAGGCTGATTAATATTAGGGATGACCAGTGCATTCCTTTCAGTATGAGAGGAAAATGAGATACAGTATACATTAATCTTGTCTCTACTTACAGTGCACACAGGCAGCTGTGGTAAGGCACAGCTCAGAGATGTCAAGCTGTCCCTAGGCCTCCAGAACCTGACTCTGTAGCAAGTTCTAGCCAAAGTGTATTTGACGACTTCAAGACTCTGTCAATGTAAAACTACAGCTTGGTTTCTTCCAAAGTGCTCCTCTGAATCAAATTAAATAACATAAAGTAGGTAACAGAGTCTAAGAACTTTCCGTTTGCCAGAAATCAGGCTTACTTTCCCTGTTTAATATGCAAAACTTGCCACATCTACTCCTAGTGCTGCATATTAGTAAACTGTTTTCCATGTGACAGCGTCCTTCTACCTCCTGGATTTATGACTGGATCTGGAAAAAACTTCCCATCTCTTGCCTTTTGGAAGAAGTAGAAACATCTTCTCTGTGTTGTGTATAGTTTTGACACTGAAGCAGTTCCCCCAGTAGTCTCTCAAGAATTTTTTCTGATTTCCCTGCCAGAAATAGACTGAGGACTTCAGGATTTGGATCAGTGATTTACTCAAAACATTGCACCTGGCATGATCAAGCCTTTACCTTCCCTATAGAAATCTTCTGTTGAAAAGATCTGGTGCTAGCTCCTACCCTGGGGGTCTTTAAGAGGAGGTTAGACGAACACCTTGCTGGGGTCATTTGACCCCAGTACTTTTTCCTGCCATGGCAGGGGGTCGGACATGATGATCTGCTCAGGTCCCTTCCGACCCTACCAACTATGAAACTATAAGATTCTAGTTCTACAGAATAATTCAGTAATTAACAGCATATTGCCTGCAAATAAAACATGATGACAATTATCAGCTATAGTTAATATTTGATCTTAAATAAGCAGTCTCTCTCCCTATCTGTCTAAAGGTACTAATCATGTTCTTGTCACAATAGAATCCAAAAGCACCATATAACAGTTAAGAGGCATTGTGTGTGGCCACAAAGAGCTGTAATTTCATTATATCCCCCTTTCTCAGTAGATTGTACGTGTGTGTGCTTGCATGTGTGTACACTTGCTTGTGTTGCTGTTTTTTATGCATCTATGTGTCTCCTCATCTTTCCTTTTTGTCTCTCCTTCCTAACTGCT